AAAGAAAAGAAAAGAAAACGGGACCAATCAGGTCTTGCTTTTCTCCACAACAGCCAAACAGGAGCAACAGGAACCTCAGTCCCAAACCAAGAGTCAGAAAAGCAAGGAACTAAACAATCTGTTCCTTCTTGGAGAAGGATGAAAGAAACCGCAGGAAGCACGCCTGTTTCCGGGACTGGGGCACGTTCTGGCTCAGACCCAGGGACTGGCAGAGGCCGGGGAGAAAGAGAATCGAAGCCAGAGGGGAGGAGGGCCAGCTGCCCAGCATGGCCAGGAGACTATGCCAGAACGGTCGCCAACTGCAGTATCAGCGTCACCTCTGGGGACGTCAGTGGAGTCGCTCGAGGCAAGCAGGAGGCGCACCTGTCAGCGCTGGCTCTTCTTCTTTTTGAGAGGGAGTTTTGCTCTGTCGCCCATGCTGGAGTGCAGTGGCGTGACCTCAGCTCACTGCAACCTCCACCTACTGGGTTCAAGCGATTCTCCTGCCTCAGCCTCCCAAGCAGCTGGGACTATAGGAGTGAGACACCAGGCCTGGCTAATTTTTAGTAGAGATGGGGTTTCACCATGTTGACCAGGATGGTCTCGATCTCTTGACCTCGTGATCCACCCACCTCGGCCTCCCAAAGTGCTGGGATTACAGGCGTGAGCCGCCGCATCTGGCCAACACCAGGTGTTTTAACCTCCTCCAGCGATGCCACCTTGCAGAGCAGGGGAGTGTTTATTTTTTTTTGAGACAGGGTCTACCTAGTGCATTGGTATTGTCTATCAACTTCCTGCTTAAAAATAAATTGTATTTCCATGCATGTTTATTTTTCACTGTTTTTTCTTGAGACAGTCTCCATCTGTCACCCAGGCTGGGGTACAGTGGCACAATCACGGCTCACTGCATCCTCAGCTCCCAGGCTCAGGTGATCCTCCCACTTCAGCTTCCCAAGTAGCTGGGACGACACATGTGAGTCACCACAGCCAGCTTTTTTTCTTCTTGTAGAAATGGAGTCTTGCTAGGTTGCCCAGGCTGGTCTCAAACTCCCGGGCTCAAGTGATCCACCCACCTCAGCCTCCTGAAGTGCTGGGATTATAGGCGTGAGCTGCCGCACCTGGGCTCAGGAATTCTTAAAAATTCGAGTTTGGAAATCAGCTCCTGCCTTGAAGGTCCACAAGCCACCCCCTTGGAACCCAGTCATGCATCTCTGGGAGCCCCAGGTGACTCGCCACTCGTGTCCATGTGCTGCTAAAGTGCCGAGGTCCCAAAGCTCTGCAGCTGCTGCTCCGGAGCAGCGGGGCCCAGGCAGCAGCCGAGACCCTGGACCTCTGCCAGCTACTTGTGCCGATGTCACTCAGCAGGTCAGAGTCAGAGCAGATGCTGGCATCCAGGGTTCCAGGCCAGGGGGCCCCTGCCTCTCCCTGTGCAGCTGTTGAAGCCACAGTCCACCTGCCAACAGGTGTGGCATCGAGGCCCCTGGACAGAGAAACACAACCTCCACCAAGCCCCCTCAGGCCTGCTCCGAACCAATGGATCGGGAGAGGGAAAGAATGAGGCTGGTTTCGGCAGGTCCCAAGCGGCGCCACCCACTCACAGCGTCTTCTGGTGGGGGATGCAGGGGGGCCCACAGTCTTGCCTTCTGGTCTCTGCAATGTGGTATTTAAATGGGTCTTGAGCTAAGCTCCTCAGTTAGATTCTCAAAGCCCGTATTCACTAATTTAATGTCTGATTTCTATGACCTCCTCCCGCTGGTGTGGCCATACGAGAGGACACCTGCACCATGACCCTGGTGCACAGAGGCCACAAGTGTCTGAGGCAGGAGTGTCTGGCACCCGGCCTCGGCTGCTCCAGAAGCTGACAGATGAAGGACGAGGACATCACCCAGACAGCAGGAGCCCACTACCGCTCCACCCGGACGGGACGCACACGCAGTGTCGGGACCGGCTCGCCTCTCCCGGCACGGCAGCCGTTGGCCTTGGACGTGCTCGGGACAATCTCTGCAAAGCCCAGCTTGCAGACCCATGGCTGTGCTGCTCCCCTCACTTCCAAAAGGGACGGCTTGACATCATCAACTTCTGGGCCTTTAATTCACCCCTCAATTTATGCTTCTTTCAAATTTCTCTGAAGGCTCCTTCTACCCCACAGTGGTTGGATGCTGAACCCTCAAAGGATGCATTTAACTGGAACCTGTGAAAGTGACTCTATTTGGAAAAAGGATCCTTGGGCTGGGCATGGTGGCTCACACCTGCAGTCCCAGCATTGTGGGAGGCTGAGGCTGGCAGATCACCTGAGGTCTGGAGTTCAAGACTAGCCTGGAACATGGTGAAACCCCATCTCTACTAAAAACAAATACAGAAAAATTAGCTGGGCATGGTGGCACACGCCTGTAATCCCAGCTACTCAGGAGGCTGAGGCAAGAGAATTGCTTGTACCCAGGAGGTGGAGGTTGCAGTGAGCCGAGATTGCACCACTGCACTTCAGCCTGAGCGACAGAGCAAGACTCCATCTCAAAAGAAGAGAGAGAGAGAGAGAGAGAGAGAGAGAGAGATCTTTGCAGATGTAAGATTCCAAGATGAGATCATTGGGTGGGCCTGAATCCCATGTGAGTGTGCCTCTAAGAGCGCATACAGAGCAGAGGCCACGTGAAGACAGAGGCACACACTGGAGGGACCTGGCCATAAGCCCCAGAAGCTGGGGGCCACCGAGAGCTGGAAGAGGCCAGGAAGGACCCTCGTATGGAGGGAGCATGGCCCTGCCCACACCCTGGTCTCAGCTTTCTGGCCCCCAGACTACGAGAGAGCGAATTTCTGCTCCTGTGAGCCCCCTGGTGTGTGGCACTTTGTTTTGGCAGTCCAGGCAAACTCCTATATAACCCCAAAGTTGTGCATGGTATTTTCAACCCAGTCCAGGCAAACTCCCACGTAACCCTGCAGCTGCGTGCCTTAGGGTTACGGAAGCAACAGGGCAAAAGGGGTGGAAGGCTGCCCTGAGCCCCCAGGATCTCCACGGTGCAGTGGGGCTGGCAGAAACACACGAGCTGCTGAACTGATGAGCCAGGAAGGCTTTCCACACACACACCAGGGCTCCAAAGAACCAGCCTCCCAGCCCTGAAAGAACCTGAGGGTTCCTACACCCAGAGCAAACAGTCCTAGCAGTGTGGGAGGACAGACAGGCAGCTCATTTCCTCCACTCCTTCCTGTTCTCCCCTGCCTAGAATCCAAGCCCCAAGGCGCATCCCAAGGCCTGTCCTTGGGCGGGTCTGTGCTTAACTTGGGCAGCCCCCCAGCTCCTCTCCTCCATGTACCCCCAGACCGAGAGCCTGCACTTGCCTTCCACGTTCGATCTGCAAACCCAAATCATGCCGCCTGACCCTGCACCTCCCGCCAGCACTGGTTATGTCAACATGCTCCCCTCCTTCAGTTCCCCGCCACTAAAATGTGCCCTGGGCATACACCCAGAAACAAAAGCCAAACACAGGCTCAAGGCTTTGCTCTGCACAGGGAGGGCGGCTGCCTCCTGGCTGCAGAATGACACTGAGAGGACCTGGCAGAAAGTGTCTGAGGAGAACAGCTCTCAGGCCCAGACATGCAGATGGTCCAGTCAGGACGAATCTGTGCTACACTCCCAGGGAATCAGCAGGAGCTCCCTGGCAATGGGTGCACCCAAGCCTGGCACGCAGGGCACAATGGGCCCTGGTGCTGTCTTGCAGACGAGTATTGCACCTAGAAACCAGGGCCAGGTCCCTCAGCTGCAATTCCAAGATGAGGAGACACCTGCTTTGAGGTGGGACCCCAGACACCTGGGCCAGTCCCCATAAGGAGCCTCTTCAGCAGCCCTGCCACATGCCACACCCCTCAGGCATTCTCCAGTCTCATTCCAAGTGGCATTCAGGCAAATCTTTGGGGCTCAGCCAGAGGCTCTGTTCTGCCAGTTTCTAAGTTTTCTTTCCCCACATCCAGCCTTGGAAACAAGGCTTTGGAGTTCTAAGCCACATGGTGATCAAAATCAAGAACACACTTGCAAGAGCAGCTCTAGACTTCAGAGGACGCTTCCCCTCGTACTGCGGCCACTTCCAGGCTCTGTCCGCCAGACCCTCCTGTGCCCACTAAGGCTGGTCCAGGCTGGCTTGGTTGCAGCCATCTCAGCTCCTCCCCATTGCATTGCTTCTCCTTGCCCAGCTGTGCTGGGACGTCAGGGTATGGGAGCCCACAGGTCTGGGCACTGGGGAGACCCCAGGTGAGAACGGGAGCGCCATCCTTACAAGACTCGGCCTGACGTAAGCAACCAGAGGACACCCCTCCCTTGAGTCACTGGGAGTTCGAGAACAAGGGACATTACTGGGGGGTCCCAGGCAAAGCAAAGAAGACAGTTTGCCCAGTGAAGTAGGAGGTGGATGGGAGGAGGAACCGGACAGACGCCTGCCAAGACGGTGGGCACTATCCCCAGAGCCCTTGGCGCCACCCTCCCTGGCTGCCGCTGCTTCAGGGACCCTGTACGTTCCCGAGCACGATCCTGCCTTTGACTGCCCAAGCGGTGACCTTCCGCACTCTCCTCAAGCTAGGAGGGGTCCAGAGCAGTGCTGAACAGGTGCACTCTGCTGCTCCCGGCAGGGTCCGCGGCAGCTGGCTGGAATGAGGGGCTCAAGTGAGACGACCTGGGAAGCACCGCCCCCTTCCCCGACAGCCCTTCCACTTCACTTCAGACTCGAACCCCTGCCTTTCTGGGCTCAGCTCTGCTCTGCTCGGTCCTCCTGGGGGCCCGCCTAGGTCAGCCCTCAAATTCCAGAGGCGCCGCTCTCCCGCTTCCTGTCTTCCTCCCAGGCCAGCGCGCACCGCAGGCCCGACCATGACCAGGTGGCCTTTCCTTATGTCCGTGGGCACCAGCACAGGGACCAGGCATACCTGCTCCTTTCCCCGAGGACCAGGCCACAGGTGGGCAGCACAGGAGAGCCACCACCCGGCAGGCCCCTGCCCCCCCAGCCCTCCTGCTGACTCGACAAGGCCAGAAGTGCCGTCACCTTGGTTCTAAGTCGGTCCCTCCGCATCCAGGCCCTTCCTGACCCTGGAAGGGCCACTTAGCTGCAACCAGGAAGTCGCCGGCTAACGCGTTTTAAAAGGGAGCTCCCTAAAGCAGCTGCGCACAGCCCCGAACTGCTCCCTCACAGCAAACACCTGCAGGCAGCCCCGCCCTCTTCCCTTCGGCCACCTCCTGGGTGGTCAGGCCAAGAGCCGAGTCCACCCTCGCGGGCTCCGTGACCTCACTCGGCGTCTTTCTCCTTCCTCTCGATCTCCCGACCACAGGGGCCCAGCAGGTGTGCGCGCGAACCCCTGGAGCTCCACGGTCGCCTACGCGCTCCACGGGGAAAGGTCCCGTCCCCCGTGACCGCCCAGGGACTCCCGGGCTCTGCCGCCTTCCCTCGCCTCCGGGAGCCGTCCCCCCACACCCCGCTCCGCGGGACGGGACAGGGACGCGCGGCTGCGCCACAGGCGGTGCGCGGGGCTCCCTCCTCGCGGCGCCCCCGAAGCCGGACCCGTCCCACCCGCGGGGCCCACAGCGCTCGGCCCTCCGCTCCCGCCCGCGCAAGCCCAGCAGAGCTGGTGGCTCATCCCGCGCCTGCCTCCCCGCGCCCGCGCCAGCTCTGCCCGCAGCTCCCGAGCCTCCCTCGGGGACCCGAGCCTCGTCCCGGGGGCCCCGCCAAGGTCACGGGCTCGGGGGCCACGCGTGTCGGGTTACGTAAGCGCGCGCGGCGCGTACCTGCAGCGGGAACGTGGCCGCCCGGTTGCCCACGTAGCCGCGGACGACGTGGCTCTGGATGGAGAGCACCCGGCACTCCTCCTCCATGCCGGGCCTGGCGCGGCGGCGCGGGGCGAGGCGGGAGGGGCACGGGCTCGTCCGCTCGCTCGATCTCCGCTCGGCTCGGGCCCCGGCTCCGGCGGCCCCGCTCGGCGCAGACGCTCTGCTCGGACGCCCTGGCCGCCTCCCTCTGACCTCAGCGGGCGGCTCCGAACCCGCGAGTTCCGCGCGGCGCCGGGGGCGGGCCGGGGCGGGGACAGGCGCGCAGGCCCCGCCCCGGGCAGGGAGGAAGTGAAACCGGTCCCCGGCCGCGCCGCCGCCGGGAAAGCGGGGTTTGCACTTTCATTCCACTGGGAGCGGGCTCGTTCGTTCGTTCATTCATTCAACACGCGTGCTCCGCCCCAGCCCCGCGCCCCGCCGCGTGCAGGGGAGACTGGGGGGCCCGGGCGCCACGCCCCTGACACTCTCACAACGCCGAGAGCCACGGGGGGAATGGGCCGGCGCGGGGCCACGGGAGTGCGGGTGGCGTGGGAACAGCGCCGAGGCGCAGGAGTGACCCCGGATCCCCGAGGGAACCGCGCACTCGCCCTCCTACAGTGCCCAGAGCCCAAGTCCAATCCACGTCCCCTCTCCAGGGCCGCAGGAACTGATGGACACGGGGCTGACGTGACCCAGTCTCCCCCACACCGGCCTGGGGCACCAGGCTTCTCCGGGGCACCCTAGACCCTTGAGGACCCGAAGTCCCCGCTCCGGTGGCTCTGCCTGCAGAGGGTACCCAGCCCTCCATCCACAGGTGCCCCAGCCTGGGCTGGCCGCCTGTCGGATCCCACTCCCACCTAGTCTCCCTGTGGAGGGCCTGCCTTCGAGGACAAGCCTGACCCCCTAGGGGACTCCACTGCCTTCACCTCCCACCCCTATGCTCCCCACAGCTGATGCACTCCCTGCGGCTTCCCTGCGCCACCCTGGGGAACAGAGGCCTTTGGGTTCCAGACTTGCAGACTTGATCTGGCGCCCTGGGGTCAGTATCACCAGGCTAAAGTCTTGGTGACCTGGCAGCGCACCTACGGCTCTGTAGCCTGGTGAGACCCGATGCCCGATCAGGTGGGTGCTAAGGACTGAGGGAGGAGGACGTTGCTTAGAGGTCCAGGTTTTAAAAAGAAAGTACATCTAATTAGTAACAGTTGTCCATTAATGATAGCTAACATTTAAGCAATGCACGGTGGCTCATGCCTGCGGTCCCAGCCACTGAGGAGGCTGAGGAGCGAAAACTGCTTGAGCCCAGGAGGTAGAGGCCATCCTGGACAACATAAGGTAAGCCATCTCGAAAAAGTAATAGGCTGGACTTGGTAGCTCATGCCTGTAATCCCAGCACTTTGGGAGGCTGAGGCAGGTGGATCGCTTGAACCCGGGAGGCAGAGGGTGCCGTGAGCCAGGATTGTGCCACCGTACTCCAGCCTGGGCGACAGGCTGAGACTACATAAAAAAAAAAAAAAAAATTAGCTGGTCTTGGTGGTGGGCGCCTGTAATCCCATCAACCTGGGAGGCTGAGGCGGGAGAATCACTTGAACCCGGGAGGCAGAGGTTGCAGTGAGCCAAGATCACACCACTGCACTCCAGCCTGGGTGACAGAGTGAGACTCCCATCTCAAAATAATAGTAATAATAACAACAGCTAACCTCAATTGAGCATGTACTGTGCACCGAGCATATTTCATGCATTAACACATCGAATCTTCACACTACGTTACAGATGAGTGTAAGCCCCGCTCCACCAGGGGAGCACCTTGTAGCAAAGGGAACATGAGAAGAACCCTAAAACGGAGCTCCTGGCCATGAGGGAACAGGGGGTCAGCTACGTCCATTTAGGCCCCCTTTTAGGGTTTACCACAACACTGAACAGCACTACAGGTAAAATGGAGACCGTAGGACTCACAGAACAGGTTCTGTGGCAATAAGATCAAATTACAAACATCCCCTCAGGCAGCGCCAGGCAAGGGTTGATCTGCCTATCCTACACTTAGAAAACAGACTGCACTCACTGCCACGTTGTCTAAGTGGACTCTGACTCTTGCCCAGGCTGGAGTGCAGTGGTGTGATCTTGGCTCACTGCAACCTCCGCCTCACTGCAAACCCCACCTCCTGGGTTCAAGCGATTCTCCTGCCTCAGCCTCCCCTGTAGCTGGGATTACAGGTGACCACCACTATGCCCAGCTAATTTTTTGTATTTTTGTAGAGATGGGTTTTCACCGTGTTGGCCAGGCTTGTCTTGAACTCCTGACCTTGTGATTTGCCCACCTTGGCCTCCCAAAGGGCTAGGGTTACAGGCGTGACCCACTGCACCTGGCCCCATAGTGTCTTCTTTTGCTCCAGCAGCTACACACGCACTGGCCCCACAATGAGCAACATTCAAACGACTGCAGCTCATCCACCCGCAGACGCCAGCTGACCCCATCCCACCGCCGTGACCACAGCTCTGACTGGGCGGGAGACTGACTTCAGGAGCCTCCTCCTGATAAGGGACCCCCACCATGGACCAGCTCTGGCAGGTTTACAGAGGCTGCGCACTCGAGCGCCTTTGTGTCCTGAGAAGACCTCTGACGCTTAGGGCCTCACTGAGACACAGTCACATGTGAAGGCTCCACCCCATTGGTGACAACACAAATTGAAGAAAAAAGAGTCCACCTCCGAGTGAAAACAGGTTGTATGTAACACGCATGTCTGTTTAGTATGCATACAGCCAGGTCCTTTCCATGAGTATTTACCACTCCTCCTGTAACTTGCTTAGCCATATGTGTGCTTAGCCAGCCCTTTCAGCACAGGGCTCCTTCCCCAACCCCCGTCCTTGAAGTACCTGTGTCTCAGGGGGGGCACTGATGCAGATAAAAGGCAGGGAAATGCTGGCTAGAAGAAGGCGGTTCCCCAGCAAGGGCCCCACCCACACGCCTGGGCCCGGGCCCTACATGAGAACTTCACATCCCTGTATTCCCGCCTGCGTGGTGCTTTCTCCAAAACCACTCTGGCCCGCCACACCCCAATCTTGTACTCATAAAAAACCAAAACTTCACTGACAGAGGAGTGCAGTGGCACAGCAGAGAAGGAGAGAAAGAGGAAACATTGGAATGTGGAGAGGAGTTTGACCAGGGAGGATTATCTTCCCACTCCATCCGCTTTCCAGCTCCCCTTCCCACTGAGAGCCACCTCCATCGCTCAGTAAAACCTTTCACCATCCTTCAAGTCCATATCACCTGATTCTTCCTGGATGCCGGACAAGGAACCGGGTACCAAGAGGGCAGGGTCTAGCTGGGCACAGTGGCTCACGCCTGTAATCCCAGCACTTTGGGAGGCCAAGAAGGGTGGATCACCTGAGGTCTGGAGTTTGAGTCTAGCCTGATCAACATGGAGAAACCCCATCTCTACTAAAAATACAAAATTAGCCTGGCCTGGTGGCACGTGCCTGTAATCCAGCTACTCAGGAGGCTGAGGTAGGAGAATTGCTTTAATCAGGGGGCAGAGGTTGTGGTGAGCAGAGATCATGCCACTGTATTCCAGCCTGGGCAACAAGAGCGAAACTCCATGTCAAAACAACAACAAAAAACACAGCAGGCCATGTGTAAAAGGCTGTCACTCTGACTCTCACGGAGCTGGTTAACACTTAGTGATCCACGGGTGACATTTGCTAAAAGAAAATTAATTGTAACACATCCCAAGATGCCACCATGGGGCCAAAAGCGCTTTCCTGGTCCTCGCCCTACTCGCCTGCGTGCCCCCTCCCACGAGGGTCTGAGCTTGGCGCCCCGTGAGGAAGCCACACCTTTACTGCAAGTCCTCCAGAAGGGTCCATGGAACTCTTCCCCTCTTACCGCCTCAAAGGCTGCAAACTTTTCACCCTTTATAAGAAAGAAAGTATCGTCTCCTTTCCCAAACGTACAGATTGTGCAGTTAACACACTCAGGAGAAGTCAGATTACAGAGCTGGTGACAAGCAGTGCTGGGCGAGAGCCGCAGAAACCCACAGAGGCGGCCGCCCTTACCACCCTTCGCTCGCCCTGCTGAGTCTTCCGCTGTGGGGTCTCTGGAGCGCCTGATGAATCCCTCTCTCTCTCTGCCGTGGATTTTGTCCTTCCCCACTTTGATCCATCACCCACGGCCTCCCTCCCCAGCACCCCCAACAGTATCATACCTCTCGTCCCAAGCACTAAGAGGAAGGAGCAGAGGAGGTGTAGGAGAGCCGACAAGCCTCCAGGCCCGTGGGCTCCAGGACCCTCCTTCTTGACAGAGGGCCTGGTACTCAGAGGTCAAAACTATAAAAATGACATTATGGTGAGTACATTTTTGCCTGTGGTTTCTTGGGCCTCATACCTGTAATCCTAGCACTTTGGGAGGCTGAGGCGGGCAGATCATGAGGTCAGGAGATCGAAACCATCTCGGCTAACATGGTGAAATCCATCTCTGCTAAAAATACAAAAAAATTAACTTGGTGTGGTGGCACACGCCTGTAGTCCCAGCTATTCAGGAGGCTGGGGTAGGAGAATCGCTTGAACACAGGAGGCAGAGGTTGCAGTGAGCCAAGACTGTGCCATTGCACTCCAGCGTGGGAGACAGAGCGAGACTCCACCTCAAAAATTAAAAGATCTGGT